CTGAGTTTCAGGCTGTAGATCCCTACCTGTTGATCGAGTACAAATAAGAAATGAGAACCTGGTAAATTAATGAACAACCGAAAAAAAAAGAGGGGTGATAAGAAGTTACCTTCAGGGCAGCCAAGGCAATACACTCTTCGGCCTCCTCGACCGGCATCGGAGGAAGGTTATGCCCATTAAGGAAGCCCGATGTGGACCAAATCTGGCTTGCTGGACAGCCTCCCCTTTCCATCATTCCATGAGCGGGATCTTGAAGGGAGATCTGCTCAAACTGGCTCGCCAAATCAGCCTGGTTGGCGGCCAGTTCCTCAGCGGAAAAGTGGTGAGGCTGCTGATCAGAGAAGAGCTGATCCATCAGCATATCAGCATGTGAAGATTGCTGTTCAGGGGCAACCTGCTGCACAGGTTCTACATCCCGAACAGGTTCAGACTGCTCGGGGACGACGGGGGCGGATTGGGAGGATGTCCCCTGATCTGCCTTCCTCAACCTCTTCCTCTTTGTCTTCCTCTGCTGCTTGGGAGGAGAGGTTGGTGGCTCGTCATCAAATCCAACAGTGAAAAGCCTGCTGTCATCCATAGCCGGTTGTTCGGGATTGGCTCCTTCGGAGTCTGAAGATTCGCCTTGCTTTAGAGCTGAAAAGATAACAAAGGAACAAGTTAGTACCGAGCGGTTCACACGTGGATTTATAGTACTATCACACGGGAAGGACCGCCCGGGCCATGGTACTTGGTTTTCAGTCAAGTAGGTCCAGGAATACGGGCAGTACCTATCCCGGCCCTAATTAGCCGTTCGGGAGTCAGGTAAGACATGATTTTGAAACAGCCTCCTGCCTCCACAGCAATGACATCTTGGCTAAGCTCCTCAGAGATGAATGGCTCGGGGGATTTAGGAGGAAATGCGTTCCACTTCCTAGGAATCAGACCGTTCGGGACAGAGACAAAGAAAAACCTATCTTTCCAACCCTTAATGGAAGAAGGGGCATCACAGAACAAAATATGTCCTGGACGGGAGCTTACCACCAGGAAGCCGTGGGACTGCTGGGGGATAACCGAAAAGAAATAGTGGAAAAGCTCTAGAGTGGGTGTGACCTTGACACTGTGACAACGACAAATGAAACCAGCTATCGACCGGTAGGAGTTCGGCATTATTTGGGCTGGTACTACATTGTAAAAATTCAAAAGGGAGACAAAAAAGGGGTGAAGTGGGAATCTAAGACCGGCCTTGACTGAGTCGAAATGGACCACAACCATCCCTGGGAAGTGGCGCATTGGGTGAAGACCCGATTGAAGGCGGAAGTCCACCGAATCAGGAATTAGCATCTGAATTTGGGCCCGATTCTGGGCCGTGAGCTTTTGGCGCCTAAACCTAATAAGAGCTAGGTCAAGCTTATGACAGGAAACGCCGCTTGGAGGGCCGGCTTCCATAACCTCCAATTCATCCCCCGATTTGGTGCCATCAGAATAAACATCGGAGGAAGAGGAATCATCGCCGTTAACCTCCGCCGGAATACGGACAACTTGCAGCGTATCATTGGGGTTTTCTTCTGGAATTACAGTGCCGGAGGTAGAGAGTTCAGATGAACGACGGGTTGCCATACCGATCGAACAAGGAGGATAGAAAAAAGACAAAGGCCAGAAAGTACCTGAGCGAGAACTAAGGAATAGCTCTAGAGAGGATGAATGATAAGCCGGAGATGCAAAGTTTCGAAACCCAGAATCAGAACCAGAAGAGCCTATTTATACTCTGTCACGCCGATTCAGCTGCCAATCAAAAGAGGACACGTTTTTTGTAATGATGACAGAGACACGTGTCGCACAGAGAATCCTTCTCAAGTAATCATGACGTTTATCGGAAAAGCGAAACGGCAGTTGCAAATAACCGTCAGAACATGCCTCGGGAACCGGCGGAAGTCCATCCGATACTCACCCGAACAGCATTCGGGCAATAAACTTATACTTCCTTATGCACTCGCTACCGTTCGAGACATAGGAAGTGGGGGACTAGTGTTGGGATATTGGGTCCAGGCCCAATATCCCTAGGCCCAAATCCGGGAAGAAGCAGCAAGCGGGGCCCAAATCCGGAAAGAACTTCCGAACGGCATTCGGGATAAAACTTATACTTGGAACATTCTGGGAAACAATTATGCCAAAGCGTCAAGGCCAGATATCGACCGGTGTTCGGGATACTTCCATCAATTAGATCACCTATGGCAGAGATACCGATCGGCGTTCGGCATATGTTCATAAGCAGGATAGCACCTATGGCGGGGCCCCACACACCGAACACCCTGCCCGAGCGGGCTATCAGCAAGTGGAAGCCGCATTTAATGCTGGATCATGACGGCAGCAAGTGGGGGCGTGGGTTCTTACATGGCAGAGGTGATAGCCTACCAGATTCGACCACGTGTCCACCTTACCCATCCCCATTTTAGTATAAATACCCATGTTTAGATCATTGTAAAGGGTTAGCATTTTAATACTCAGAGCTTAGCAATAGATTTACACCTTCTATCCTTGTAATCTCATATTCATCTACCGTTCGGGTAGTCTCAGTATAATCACATATTTATTGAATATCGGTAAGCTTTTGAGTTGAGCAAATATCTCACTATTTTACATTTTATACACATTTCAACCATACCCAATATCCCTACAATATCCAAGGCTTGTGTTGGGCTTTCGGATCTACGGGACAAAACCTCAACAATCATGTTTTACCAATGATATTCATTAAGAGCAAAATGTGCACCATGGTGCATCTAAAACAATTTGTATTAAGAGTTGAAAAGCAAGAGGTGAAAATGTGAAACCTTATGAGTGAAAAGTTAAACTTGCAAAATATTAAATACTTTGTAAAAATGAATGAAAAAGAACGAAAAAGTTGGTAGCACCTATTTGGAAATCTTTGTAAAAGAGAATCAAAAGTTGCAATTATTCAATAGGTGAATTTTATGAGAGAAAGGTGAAAATTTATTTTCTTCGCACCATATGGTGATGTTGGTCTTATGAGAGATCAGTCCCTTTGATTCAAGGCTTAACCGCCCAACTTGTTGGCACCACGACGTGGTGTAGCCCCTCATGTCTATCCACCGCTCAGTAGTGGGGCTCTGCACTGCCGTAGTGAACCATGTGGGGTGCCCCACATGAATCTACCTTGACTTGGGGACCACAGAGTGGGTTAAATAGAGGGTGTCCACTTCCTTATCACCAATTGATTTTAAGAAAGATATGGCTGCTATTTAACCACAAAACTCTGCAGTTAAGCGAGCCCGAGGTTAGAAAGCTCAAGGATGGGTGACCCAATGGGAAGTTTGTCAACATGGGTGAATCGATCCAACCGGTGAGCACCCTTACAAAGAAAGAGTACATGAGTGTGTTAAAGTATGTTGGTGGCACCTTTGGGTGGAGAATTAATTTTCTCATTACGTGCATGTAAAGAAAAATGAAATAGAAAAATTAATGATTAGGCTACACGGGAAAAGAAGGTGCATGATTCATTGTCAAAAAACATTTCTATTAAAAGATTTAAATATGGTTTTAGTCCCCGCAAATATTACACACTTTGTTTTAGGTCCCTGTAAAATATATATTTTTTCATCTCTGCAATATGCGCTATTTTGATTTTAGTCCATATCTAACTCCGAAACAACTCTGCTTAGATTTTTTTATTTCCGGTTGCACAAATCTACTAGAAGCATTTAAATTTATCATTTTATATTTTTTTAGGCTAACCTGGGAGTTAAAACAATATAAAACTAATTATTCACATTTTTAAATATGTATTAAAAACCACGTAAAAATGAATTTAAATACCTTTTTAATGACATGACAAATATTTAGAGGAAACTCACTAATAGAGTTGTTCCGTTGTCAAATGGAGGTAGTTCTCATTCATTATGAATTTAAAAAATCGTAATAAATTTCAGAGATGAAAAGTAAAAAAAATATTTTGTAGGGGCTTAAAACAAAGCGTATTATATTTGAAGGGATTAAAAATATTTTAAAATCTTTATTAAATGTTTTAACATTTTTATTTGTATTTTGATTTTCACAAAAAATAGATCAAAAGCCATTCACATGATAGCAATATTCCTATGAACTTTGTAGTTGTTGTTTGGGCCTGCAAGTTGATAATGTTTTTGAACTTTCACCTTGTGTGAGCCAAACCATCGGGCTTGGTGGTTCCAAGGACTGTGGCCTGTGGGACCGGAAGGAGGGACATTCCAATTTCGAACATGAGGCATCTTTCCAGCCAAGTGCAAGGTGCGGGCGTATACAGGTTTAGTCAAGTGTATAACAGTAGCTCAAATCACCACTCATGTCTCAGAAAGCACCCGGCTGAATCGTAACCACGTCCTCCTCTTCTCCCAATCTCTTCACATCCTTCTCTTTATAAATTAATCATCAATCACGGCCCAACCATTTTTTTGTATCCAAATTCTCTCGCACCCACAATTCGGAACAAGTCTATCTATCTCTTCGAGTAGACCATTCCAAAGAACATTCTTGGAATCTTTCTGGGATTCATGCGAGGGGCGATTGTTAGATTCTGAGAATTTGTGGTGGGTTGTCTGTAAGGAAATTCCTGGGTTTGATTTGGGTATCTTTCTTGAAGCTGTTTTGAGGGGTGGGTGAAATCCCGGGCGAGACACGTTGTAGAAATCACGGCTATACACGGAATACACCGGCGACCCCTTGTTCATGGCCTCCGGGCATTACGATGCAAGGGTTGTCTGAGTGAATCGAACACAACTTCGCCGCACGGTGGCCGCGGTGCTCTCCCATCTGAAGGCGGAAGCCCTTCTGACCTCCTCTTCCTGGCCGGCGGCGGGTTTTCCCCTTTCCTCCTCTATTAGGATAGCGCGTGGTAGTTAGATCGTTCTCTTCGTTTCGATTTCTGCGTCGTTTGTTGTCCAATTCACCCGATCTGTAAATACCCAAACCCTCCCTTAGAGAAAGATGTCGTCTTCTTCGATGGTCCTGAAGATTAAGAGGGTTCCAACGATTGTTTCCAATTTCCAAAAGGAAGATTGTGAGGAAGGTTCTGTTCGTGCTTCCGGATGTGGTAGGAATTGTCTCCGCGATTGCTGTCTTCCAGGTACTGCCTTAATTTTCCTGAACGCAAACAAAATTTAGTCTTTTTGGTGTTCCTTCTTCCAATATTTTCGCTGAAATTTAGTTGAACATGGATTGCAATAGGGTCGAAGCTTCCATTGTATGCTTTCAGAAAACTGAAAACCTGCAAATCTGACACCAACTCAGAGGTGGATGTCAAAGAGCCACCCATTGCTTTCTTGGACTCCCTGCTTCTTGGAGAGGTATTTTTTGTTTTGTCTTTTATTTGTCGTAGTATTAATATACGTAGTATACTCCGCACGAAGTATTTTTCTAATTAATATTGGGTATTTTGGTTGTAGTGGGAGGACCGTATGCAGAGAGGTCTCTTTCGTTATGACGTCACTGCCTGCGAAACTAAGGTTTTTTGTCCTATACCTATTATGTACTCCGTATTCTTTTAAGCTTAAACTCTCTGTGATGTTCAGTGGTCTATTAATTATTAATTGTTCAAATATCCTTCTTATTATAACTTGGTTCGTAATTTGGCTTGAGGATCCACTATATACTAAATAATATGGAGTAGTTATTTTTGTCTTCTAATCCTACAAAAGTATAGGGCCAAATAACTTAAATGGAAGCATTATGTAAAGAGAATATGATGCAAACCAAGACAAGTTTAATGATGTTTTCAAACTTTACTGAACTCAATAGGTCATACCTGGGGAATCTGGCTTTATAGCACAGCTGAATGAGGGGAGGCACCTCATGAAACGGCCAACTGAGTTTCGAGTCGATAAGGTTTTGCAGCCCTTTGATGGGAACAAGTTTAACTTCACTAAGGTTGGGCAGGAAGAGCTGCTTTTCCAGTTTGTAGCCAGTGATGATGGGACCCAGTTCTTCCCTGATTCATCAATTGATGCCGAGAGCTCAACCAATATTGTTGCCATTAATGTATGTCAACTGATTTTGATGTTTTTATAATCAGAGTGACACTTTGTGTGCTTTCCCCTAGACTTATCGCAAGGCATATTCAAACAAACTGGTAAAACAGTAAAAGTAGTAATTTTTCGAGCTTTTTTAATATTACGATATTCCAATTTTACCCTTTTTATTGTGTGTAAGTTCATTTCCTTTTATAATATAAACGCACGGAAACAATATGTGTGTTATGGGCGATTGGGCGAATAATGGAAATAGGAAAAATAATGGCTTATAAAAAGAATCACTGATACCTTTTATAAGGTAAATTATGATAAGAACCGAAGGGGGTGACTGGTGAGTGGTTGATATATATGTTGTGGATATCTACTGACTCCATGCTTGTTAATCCATTAACAGGTCAGCCCTATTGAATATGGCCATGTCCTGTTGGTTCCTAAGGTTCTTGAATGCCTTCCCCAGAGGATTGACAGAGACAGCTTCTTGCTTGCACTTCACATGGCTGCAGAAGCATCTAACCCATACTTCAGGGTGGGCTATAACAGCTTGGGGGCATTTGCCACCATCAACCACCTTCATTTCCAGGTAGCTTCAGCCAACAAATACTCCCCTTGTCGGTCTGTCTTTTAAGAAAGAGTCACTTTTGAAATCTTTCCCCCTAATTAGTTTGAAGCCTGGTTTAATAAGTCACTTTAACTAGTTTTTTTATTGGAATAATAAGGGGGGATAGTAAGTCACTAAGTCCCTTGCATAACATTTAAGGAGATAAGTAAAGATTGATTAAGTAAAGATCAAGGAGATACTCTATGTTTAGGAGAGTGAAAGTATCATATTCAAGGAGATAAGTAAAGATTGATTAACGTTTTTTTACTGTTACTCTTATATATCATAGGCATACTACTTGGCTGTGCCCTTTCCGATTGAGAAGGCCCCTTCAAGGATAGTAACCACTGCTGCAGGTGGTGGTGTGAGTGTTTCTGAGATTCTGAATTATCCTGTGAGGGGTCTCGTCTTTGATGGGGTGAGTACCCTAGATGATTTGGCCAATGTCGTCTCGAGTTCATGTATATGCCTCCAAGAAAACAACATTCCTTATAACGCCCTCATCTCTGATATGGGGAAAAGAGTTTTCCTCATTCCTCAGGTATGCCTATTTTTTCTATATTTATCATTATTTAGTCAGAGCAATGTTGAGAGTATGTGTTGATCAGATTAAATCCTAGGAAAAGGGAAATAATGTTCGAAGGATTTTTTTTTTTCTTTTTTGCATCTAGTTTTACCTTCGAAGAAAATGAAAAATGAGTGATGTTTGCAATTTTTTTTTTACATTTGTTTAAATTCCGTAGTCAATATATTCAATGTTGTCACGGCATCTATGTAAGGCACGGTGCTAGCTAACAGCCTTGTCACCTAGGTGACTAGACGACAACTAGCCGTGTGCAATATTCGAATATAACAAAATATCTTATATAAATACAATACTTGATATAGTTCATGATTTACTAATTCATCATGTTAACTCAACAAGAATCTAATATCTATTTATAATACTTTAAGCTCCAAAAAGTAGTTTAAAGTTTAATATGGTTGATATCTAAAGAAACAGAAAAAATATAAAAAAAAAGTTAAACACAAGAAAAATGAAAATGAACAGAAAGGAATATAGACAGAAGGAAACTGAGATAGAAAATCGACGCTTGACGGATTGAACTGCTGGGTCAAAATTGATTTGGCAAAAACTCTGTCCTGGGCGCCCTATGAATGCCTAGTTGACGTAGAAGCGCTGCCACTCATGGTAGTCAAAATCGCGAGTCAGCTCGTATGATCGTCCGATTATACGATCCAAAACCAGACTGACGATCCCGTTTGTACTAAGAATCGTAGATTAAGGAGAATCGGTAGAATCGCCGAGTAGGAGCGCTCACTCGTAGGAACGTACAGAGTCGGCGAGTCACGGTGGAAGAAAAATAAAATAAAAAAACACACAGACAATGACTGAAGCATCATCACCTTCTATTAGCCTGTTCTGCTACTCCCTTCGAAGCAGAATCACCGACGACTTCCATTCTGAGGCCCGACTGAGTCGAAGACCTCCACCTCGGCGTAGAAGACTCGAAGGCGACTTCATCTCCCGGTTCCAAAAGTGCGCTCAGCTAAATTGTTTTTTAGCTTGTACTCCGTATATGTTATACTTCTTATAATCTTATTAATTACTACGTATGTTATATATTAATATTGATACTTTAATTTATTTACTAGCATTTTATTAGTAAATCCTTTCAAAAAGCATTTTATTAGTAAATAATTACACATGATGCTTTGTGTGTCTACTGTAAATTAATTGATTACTTTAAATTTAATAAAGTGGATTGTTTGTGTTTTTACTGTAAATTAATTTTTTAGATGTTAATTTAATAAAGTATTGATGCTTTGATTACTTTATAGCATATTGTAAGTTAATTTTTAGATGTTTAATTATATAATTATGAGTCAACTCTTTTTGTTTCAAGTCTTTAAGTACCCAAAATATTTGATATTATGTTATAAACATCTCCTTTGATCATTATTTATCAATTATATTTATTTTCTAACTATATGTATACATTTTACATACACACACATATGCATATGTATATGTAAGTATATATTTTGTAGGATCTTACGATCCGAGTCACGATCCTACAATTTATGATCCTTATTCCAATTTCCTATCCTACGTAGGATCTCGAGTTTGACTACCTTGCTGCCACTGAATGCTTGTTGCCCTTCAGGCAATGCAACCAGCCATGGCCAGTTCTTTCCACTGCCAGGACACCTAAGCGTCGCCTAGATGATGCAATGGCAACTATGACTATTGTAGAAATAAAAGATTAATTAAGTTTCAAAGAATATAAAAAATAAATATATTGAGTTTGAGTAGATGTTTGAATCCCTCACATTTTCCTGTTTTCCAAGTTTCTTCAAGATATTTTATTCCTTTTCATTTGCTGGATACCAAAGGGGGTGCTTACGCTCTATCTTGGGAGTTTAAGCTTTATAGTCTATCCCTTGGTTCACATGATGTAATTTAGTGAGTCAGTGACATGCTTTGCAGATAATGTAGATTTAGTCGCTCAATGATTATAATAAATGAGATACAGTGTACCCCATCGGTTTATCACTCCCTATAAAATCATTGTCCAGTATTAAGGTTTATGAGGGCGTTCTCTTTAATATAGACTGCTAAGAATGCCCAATTGGCCCCATCCTTTAAAGCAATTTCAAGGGGAGGTTCTAGATGCATGTAAATATTAACAATTGAGAGACCAAGTTTACAAGAAATGTAGACAGTCCCATACTTAATGGTGTCAAACAATTGTGGATTAAAAAGTAAAAATTGTGACTTTGAATATCTGATCTGAACGAGAGACTGGAACAGTGTTATGCAGAGAAACAGGCACTTGGGGAGGTGAGTAGGGAGCTCCTTGACACCCAAGTCAATCCAGCGGTTTGGGAGATTAGCGGTCACATTGTATTGAAAAGGAAGGAAGATTATGAGGGCGCATCTGAAGAAAATGCTTGGAGACTCCTCGCTGAGGTTTCCCTTTCTAGGGAGAGGTTCCAAGAGGTAACTTCTCTCGTCTTCCAAGCCATCGGGGCGGCAGAACATGACCGCCCCCTCCCTGAGAAGAAACCTGTTGTAGATCCTCAACAAATGGAGGAAGAGATGGATTCCCTTGTTGGCTCTCACCCTACAATGGTTCCCGTGTAGGGCTTTCTACTCCTAGACTGTACTGTTGTATCTGGGATTATTTATCAATTATGCGCATCTCTCTATTGGAAATGTGTGTCTGATAGTCAATTGTTATCTGTGGCTTCCCCCTGTCTAAATAAGGCAAGCCATGAATTTTTTTTCAACATAAAATTATGTGAAATATATGAAGTTTGCTTTTTGAACCATGTAATCGTTTGTTTCTTTTAAATGCATTATTGGTTGTACATTGTACTAGATTATTGTTCTAAATTTCCCACCACTCAACCAACTGAGCTACCCGTGCGGGTTGTACTAGATTATTCTAGATATAGAATGTCGACAGGGTACGTCTATTTAATAAATCCTTTAGGGAAAATTTAGAGAAAAATGTTTTGGAATTTCAAAATAGGATTCATATATTTTTTTTCCTGAAATAAGAGTCATTATTGCCAAAATAATTGTAGTACTAGACGTTAAAATGACAATATTTACCATTAATGAGGGCTCTCATTTCTGGAAGAAAAATATAGCATTCCTATTTTGAAATTTCCCACCTTTATAAAGAAATGCCTTCTAAGCTTTGGATGTGGAGTGGTTCATTAGTTTTCATGTAGACTTCAGCAAAATGTACATTAAAATTAGGCATGGACCCGGTTCGGGCCGCCCGGCCCGCTACTGTGCGGGCCCGGAACCGGCCCGATTCTCGGGTCCGGGTCCGGGTTGGGCCTAGGCCCGGTGGGGGGGGGGGGGGGCGGGTTCGGGCTCGGGCCTTGTATTTGGCGAACCGGCCTGGCCGGGTGGGGCCCGGGTCCGGGCCAAATTAATTTTTTTTTTCTTTTCATTTTTGGGGTTACCCGGGTTGTGCTTGATGGTTAGGAGGGGTTTGGGGGGTGGGGGGGGTGGTGGGGGGGGGGGTAGGAAAGCAAAAAACAAAAAAAATTGACCAAACCGGAGGCCCGGCCCGGACCCGTACCGGACCCGGTGGCTACCCGGGCCGGTCCCGGGCCTTCCTTCCCAAAAAAAAAGCCCGGCCGGGCCCGGCATGGAACCGGAACCGGCCCGGGTCCATGACTAATTAAAATTAGGGGTGACTGGGGTCAGGCCACCCGCCCGCCCCGCTACTGTGAGGGCCCAGGACCGGCCCAGTTCAGCGGTCCGGGTACTGGGCTTTGACCCGGCCCGAGGGAAAAACAGGGTGGGATCGGGTACGCATAATTGAGACCCGCTTTGGGACCAATTCAATTTTTTGTCTTCATTTTTTCACTTTTTTCTTTGTTTCCACCGGGATGGGCTGAGTATTTTGGGCCATTTGGGGTGGGGTGGGGGTAGGGGTAGGGGGTTAATTAGAAAAAGGGAAACTATGCATACTTTAAATTATACTGAATGTAACATTATTTATTTCACAAATGAAATCTTAGATTGTTAATTGCAATCTAACAAAACATAGAGTATTTTAAATTATGTAATTATTCCAATAAATTTATATTTGTAAACAAATACAACCATGGTAGAACACCACATTTTTAGAGTAGTTAATCATTAATTGTAGGCAACAAATATATTCTTACTTTTAATGGGAAATCCAGTGCAAGTGCAAAATGTTAGAAAAACTAAAGATTTAAAAAACACCTCTAGCGTTGCATTCGATTAAACATAGTACATGAAGGAAAGAATAAAAGATAGTACTAGACTACTAGGTAAGACATTCACGTAAAACCCCAACCAAACTCCGGTTCAGCTCCATCATGAGGACATTTGCGGACCCTCCCACGCCTTAGGCTTGGATACTCTGCATCTACAAGACCATGCAACTATGCCAGGCTGTTCTTACTGGTATATTAAAACTAACATTGATACATGGGTGGATTATGCCAACCTATGTTGTACTTTGTGATAAAAGCATGCCCTTTTCATGCGAAAGGTGGTTGTAGAAAATCAAGGCAGAAGAGCTGCAGTCTGCAGATTTGAATAATTTGACCACAAACAGTAAAGATCAACATCTCTGGGCAATTCAACTCATCAACGGGCTCGATAAGTGTCGGATGTGAAGGTATCTCCAAGTCTTATCAACCCTGACAGTCAATATGTACGCCTTGGACACTTCTGTTCAGTAAAATATTTGAGAAACCCTTTATACCGTGTTGACATGACTGCATATCCTATGCCATATAACTGAGTTTTATATGGTATGGCAAACTTTAGGAAGCATGAAGGCATTCAGTTTGTGCATGAAAACATTTAACCATTGAAAAATAAAATACATATGAAACTCTTGAGTATTTGAAGTAAATCGAAGTCCATCTCCATCATTCAGCATGAAGAACGATATCATGATGTCTCTGCAAATTCAGCAGCACGTTGCAGTAAAAGCACAATGTTAAGAAAATGTCCAATGGATTCTAAGCTATTGGGATTAAAGAACTTTTTGGGAACCAAAAAGTGTGGGAACCAAAAAGTGTGGCATATTACCTGGGAAACCACTACAATCCTGTGGTTTGGTTTGTACATCTTTAGCCTTTGTTTGTTCGCCCACTTTGTTTTGGCTAAAAAGAAATAAAATAAAGCTCAGTGAGAAATGCATATTACTACTCTTATAAAAGCGCAATTTGTTTAGCCTTTGTCGATTCTCTGTTTTTCATTAAACAAAGAATACTGTTTAACAAATAACACATTTTTATGTAACTTGGATAATTAGATTAGATATTTCCATCATTTGCAATGGAGCCAAAGATTCATTATTTTTTGGCTTGAGAATATGATGGAATAAAGCAAAATGACACTAAACTTTTTGCGCTTCTTTGTTATGAAGCAGCAGTCAGTCCATGCAATTTTGGATGCGATTTCCACTATGGGTCATCCGGAAACAGTCTCTCTGTGCTTTAGTACAGGGGTAAGATTGCGTACATCCGACACCCCCTTACCCCACCGTAGGTGGGAGCCTTTGCGGCACTGGGGTAAATGAAAATGATATAAAATGATAGATAATTAGATTAGATAAATTAAGGGTTACAAATAAGTTAAATAAGATTAATTTAATTGAGTAATTTTGGGGTGGGCAAATGGGTATAGGAACCGCGGGTTGGGGCAGGTCCTAATTTTAGAAAACCCAAACTGGGCGGGACGGGTCTTAAAATTTTAAGAACCGAACAGATCCTAAAACTTGGAAAACGGGTACCCAGACCGACCCGTTTTAATATATTATTCTAATACTCCATTATACGTAGTATTTAATATACATGAAAAAGCTCTTCATTTTCTTGTGTCTTAGACAAAGATTTTGAATTGAAGAAACTCGTGAGTCTATTAAAACACTTTCAAAGTTCACGTGTTAAATTATATAAGTTCCTATATTTAATCTTCCTAATTACAATTACATTTTGAGATTTATTAAGCTTTAAACTGTTCTTTTAAACCATATGTATAGACTATAGTGACAAGTTTAATTTTTTATAACTCCGTGGTGCTACTTTTTTAGATTATGGATGGTGTTTTCTTATTTTCTATATTTCAATATTCGGTGTTATTTAAATTGTGTGGTTGCGTGCTCTTTGGTTTATTGATTTGTGCTCTAAATTTTTATTTTTGAATTTTTAGCATATTATGGTGACATTGATATTTATTTTGACAATATTACTACGTATTACTTAGAATCTACTTTGCTAGTATTCTTTTACAAAGAAAAGAACCGGGAACCAAGACTGAACCGGCTCACTTAAAACGGGGAGGATAAGGTCTGGTTCCTATTTTGAGACTTGGTATACCCGAACCAACCCATTTAATGGAACCGCAACGGTTCTTGAAAATTTATCAATAGCCCACACATACCCAGATCGTGTTTTCATGCCCCATCCATAGATCAAATAACAACCCAAACAGGATTGATGGCTTTGAAATGTTCAGCTTTCCAAATAAAATATATCAAACACGACTCTTGTATTTCTGACTACCAATAATATGAACACGAACTATTAAAAGTTTAAACTAGATTATATGAATTAACATACCTTTCTGTACTAGTTTCCTCATGAGGCCTCATAGCTGGAAAGAATATGACTTCCTGAAAATGCCCCAAAATGACATGGAAACAGATAAATAGAGGACTCAAACAGAACAAGATAATCCATTGATACCACCTCATAAGTGAACAAGAAGTACAACTCTAACCTTGATGTTTTGTGAGTCAGTCAAAATCATTGCAAGTCGATCAATACCGATTCCCCATCCAGCTGTAGGTGGTAATCCATATTCAAGTGCTGTGCAGAAAGTTTCATCAAATGCCATTGCTTCATCATCACCAGATTGTCGGTCCTGAATCAAATATAAAACGCATAATCAGTATTCACTTAAAACTTAAAAGTTATGTGCAATAAAAATTAAAAAATACTTTTAATCAAAGTATCAAACGACTAGTGAACATCATACGTGTACCTTAAGCTGGTCAGCAAAGCGTTGACGTTGAACAAAAGGATCATTCAACTCAGTGTATGCATTGCAAAGCTGTTGAATCGGGCAATAATGCACTAAATAAGAATACGTTACGTGACTCAAGAATTAAAAATTAAAAAAGAGAGCATATGTACTTCATGCTTATTGACAAACAGCTCAAATCGTTCAGTCAACCCAGGCTTAGACCTATGCCATTTTGCGAGTGGACTCATTATTTCCGGATGGTTGATGATAAAAGTTGGATTAACACACATCTCTTCAAGGAAGTGCCCAACAAGCTGAAATGTACACACATGTCAAACACTTGATTAAATGAAAACTTTGATAAATAGATATAATATTTTCTTTTCAGCTAATGAAGGTAATTGAAGATTGATGAACTATGCACAGTGAAAATCATGGAAGATTAAATTTAACCTTTTTCAAGAACTACATTGATATTACCAATCTTCTAAACCATAATGATTACATCTATGGTATGGAGAAATTCAAAAGCCTAAAAACTTTACCTTATCAAGCAATCTAGATGTAGTCTGAGGGGGGGCACATTTTATCGCAAACTTGGTGCATGCATCCACCAGATACTTGTTAGCCTCATCGCTAGCAAGATCCTTGGGTATACTGAGATTTGCCACTTTCTCTAGCCCTTCTATCATTTCAATCCTTCTGCAAAATTCAAAATAAATAAAATTATTTTGAGCATTCTCACGTGCATACAATATTTAACAAAAAATTAAAGTTATGACCTGAAAGGTGGAGTGAAGTCTATCTCAATTGGGTCTTTCTCCACACCATTTGCGTGATACTTAATTATATAGCCACCCGTAAGCTCCTTCACCATCCCTAACCACAGATAAAAGGTTAAGGAAAATTTGAAGAGGCAAATAAGATTCCAAAACATTAACATACGGCACAGAAAAATTATATACTAATA